GGGGCGATCAAGTGTCGGATGCCAATTTTCTTGTTGATGTGTATGGTGTTGGAGTGAAGCTTGGAGCACCGGTAAAGAGGGAGGAACTTGTGAAGCGTGTTGATGAAGTGATGAGGGGAGAAAGGGCTGAAAAGATGAAGGAGAAGGTTGTTGAATGGAAGGAGGCTGCGAGAGGGGCGGCAGCTGACGGCGGATCCTCAGAGAGGAATATTCAGGCGTTTGTTAACGAGATAGTGAGTAGAGCCGCTGGTGGTACGTGGAGGATTAAGTGATGGGATTAGAAATTAATGTTCTTCCTTCATTTTTCTTTGGATTTGTTGATTTGTACTTTGCGCCGTGGGGGAGTTCTTTGGTATTTTTCCGGTCAAATGCATGAAGATAACAGTACCGTGCGATTCGCGTGTCATCACTTGCTTCTTTTAATTTTCAATTTTGTTTTTTTTGAGAGAAAGGATGGACTACTGTTAATCATAACAGTAGTCCAGTCAGCTAAATTAACCAAAAAATTGGCTGATACAAGAAGATACACATTCCCAACCAATAAGAATGTGTACTTGAGTTCAAACAGAAATTACAAACCAAAAGAAAAACTCTTGTTCCCCCACAAAAAGAAACCAAACCATGCTCCAGCTCTGCCACTACAGAGTAACCCATCTCCAGCATGAATAAGAAAGTTGTCGACTACTACTACTACTACCAGATAGTATACTATCTTAACTAAGAACAAAGTTTTAACCATCTGAAAACAAAACAAGTTTATAGAACTGAAAACAGAAATCATTCCAGCTGAATCACAGTGTTCGCAAGCATTCCAGTTGTAGATTGCCCAACAACAGCTTTCTTCTTTCTCCTCTCCTGAAGTCTGGCAATTCGAGCTGATAAATGCTTAGAACCTAACCAAAATGATGAAAAGATCAAAACTTTGTTCAAAACCTCCAGAGCTCTCTTCTTCTTGTTTGAGAAAATTCTATCATTTCGCTCCTGCCAAATACACCAAATAAGAGAACATAAAGTAACATCTCTTTCCTCATTCCATTTGGCTCCCTTATCCATACTCCAATTGATCCAAATATCTTTTAAGGAATTCAACTTAAAACTCTTATCAATATTCAATTTATATTAAATAGATCTCCATGTAGAATATACAAACTCACAATCCACAAATAAATGGAAGTGATTTTCCTCCTCTTTTGAACATAGACAACACATTAAATCCAAGTGAATACCCTTCTTTTCTAGCTTATCTTTTGCATTTAGCCCCTGTCTTAAAGCTAGCCATACAAGAAATTTCACTTTTAAAGGAACAGGAATTTTCCAGAGATTTACACAATCAAATCTTAAATCCCCATCAATAAGAAAATGATAGTAGGATTTAACTGTAAATTTAGTATCCCAAATCCATTTTCTCCTGTCCTCCCTTTGATCAAAATTAAAATCACTAATATCATTCATCAATTTGAGATATTGGAGAACATAATTCCCAGTCAGTTGTCTACTAAACTGAATATTCCAAATCCATTCACTATTAACCTTTTTTTCTCACACTACTAATGGGTGCAAAAGGAAAAGAAGTGATATTAAAAAGAGAGGGATACACCGAAGCCAAGGTATATGATCCTACCCATTTATCCAGCCAAAACAAAGTTCGATCACCTTTTCCCACATCCACAAGAGTGCTGCATAAAAAGCTACCAATATTATCAAAACAATTCCTCCAAAACTGAGTTAACATGTTTCTACCAGAATGAAAAAATTCTGTCCAACTTTTCCTCTCAAAGTATTTGCAAAAACTGATTTGTTTCCATATTTCCAATTTATTATCAAACCATTTCCACCACCATTTCCCCAACAAAGCTTTATTCATGATTTTTAAATTTACAATCCCCAAACCCCCATACTGCTTAGGTCTACATAGGCCTGTCCATCCGGGCCGGCCCGGCCCGAAAATCCGGGCCCGGGCCAGGCAAAACCGGAGCCCGGACCCGGACCCGGGTACCCCGGGCCGGGTCCGGGCCCGGGCCCGACCGGGCCGGGTTCTGGCCGGCAAATTCTTTTTTTTAATTTTTTTTCAAATTTTAATTAGTTTTAAATTATAAAAAAAGAAGCAAAAAAATAATAGTAAATAATAATTTTAATTAATACTTAAAATAACATAAATACAATAAAAATTATAAAAAATAACATCTTTATTAAAATTAATATATTATATTTTGGAATTCATCGCATCACAATAGATAAGTACATCCCACCCTAGGTTATTTTTAAATTTTAATTCTTTTTTTTTTGATAAAAAATGCCACTAAAAATTGTTTAATATTATTATATTTATCATAATTATTATTAGTATATACTATCTAAAATTATTATGTAAC